TTTGGGTTCATAACAAATAAATTTGGCCGAAAAATGCCGTTAATTCTCATTTCCATTCCGATTATTGTGAGTAAATTTAAAATTAATCGTTTGGACGACTCGAACCAATTGATCAATTGATTTTCGATTTTCAGATTAGTTGGATACTCATTTTGTTTGCACCTAACGTTTATTATTTGTATGCCTCGAGATTGTTGAATGGCTTTTTCGGTGGAGGTGCCTATACTATCGTTCCATTGTATCTCTCTGACTTTGCATTTGATCGGTACGTCAAAATAACTTGAGAGGCTGAACAAGTCATTGGAAGAAAATTTATATATTTTTTTCCAGAATCCGGGGCACTTTGGTTTCATCATTGATACTAAGCGAAAATTTTGGCATGTTACTTGGATTTACGCTTGGACATTTTTATAACTTTTACATAGTGCCTCAGTTTGTCATTTCACTAATGGCCCTATTTGCTGTTCTGTTGTTCTTCTTCCCCGAAACGCCAGTATTTCTTGTCAAACAAAACAAAATATGTGTATGTATTCAAACTGTTCATTCGAGCAAGGGCAAATGCCATGGAATTTTAGTTTTTTTAAATTCATAAAACTTTTTTGTCCCATATAACTTTTGCAGCAGGCCGAAAAGTCCATAAGATTTTATCAAAATTTGAGCGATGGAGAAAAGGAAAACAAATTAGTCGAAATAGAAATAAATCGATTGAGAATCATGATTAACCATGAACAAGTAGAAAAAAGTACTGACAAATCCTTCAAATGGTCCGAGCTGACAACTAAGTCAGTGCGAAAAGCCTTGACAATTGCTTTCGTTTTAGTTATATTAACCAATTTCAGTGGAGTTTCGGCTATGTTGAACTACACTGCAAGTATATTTGAAGAAGCCGGTTCCAATTTGCATCCAAACATATCGACTATTGTGGTTGGAGCGATTCAACTGTTTGGCACAGCCATTGCGACGAAACTAGTTGACCTAGCTGGACGAAAGGTAATGAATTTTACTCAACTTATGCAATTTTAATTTGAATCAATAAAGTCTTTTCTTTTCCGCAGTCGTTATATGCTGTGTCAAATATTGGAACAGCGCTCGGTTTAATCGTATTGGGAACGTACATTATACTTAAATCACAAGGATATCCAGTAGAACATTTCAATTGGGTGCCGGTCATAAGCTTCTCATTCACCATTTTTGTTGCAGCATTAGGCATTGTCAGCCTTCCGCTGACTTTATTCTCGGAAATAATGCCTGAAAAAATGAAAGATTTTGGCGTCACTTCCTTTCTGACACTTATGTGGTTTTCCTCATTTCTGCTGATAAAATATTTGCCAATGCTCACCAAATCATTGGGTTTTGACATGAGCATGTTCATCTTTGCAGCGGTATGTTTAGCTTGCGAACTGTTTATCATTTATTTCGTGCCGGAAACCAAGGGTAAAAGTCACAAAGAAATTATCAATATGCTTCATAATAAGGAAGGCCATTAAGTATAAGCTTATTGTAAATGTTAGTTTATTTGATTAGAAAATAGTTTCGTGAATATTCATTTTCGAGTGTGTTGCATCAGCGCTGACAGTTATGTCGAAAAGGATTCTATGCAATTAATTTTTTATTTTTAAAAAATATTTCAACGTCTCTACTGATTTAGTAGTTGTAATGCTAGATATTATCTACTTGATAATTTAATTCACATTTTGAAAATAGTACTGAAAAAAATGACTAAAAATGACTCTCAAAAAACTATATCATGTGTAAAATTTATTTCGAAGAGCAACAAAGCAAATCACATTTTGATTTAAATCTGCTACGAGAATATTTATGTTTCATTTTGATTTTAGTATTTGTTCTGCAGAACCTGGTTATGTTTATATTTTTGTAAAATCTCTGCAAAGAATGGTTCCAAAACCAGCTTGGTTGACTTTTGTTCGTCCTGAAGGAAACTCTTATCCCAATCAAATCATATATACGTGAGGCTTTTGATTGTGTGAAATTTTAAATGTTCGAATCTTTGCGCTGATTTATTACACGTCTATCACACAGACTTATTACTGAAAGAGTAAATAGAATCCCTGGAAGCAAGTCGTTCACAGAACATATGGTCAACAGCTGTAATTTATTTTAGGTAACGACAATATTGAGAAATCACTGTCTCACATTCATACAATATATGTATGTGCATTTCTGATCAGAATTTCGTTTCATGTCGGTCTCAATAGGATCTTATCAAGTTTCTTGTGATTGATTATTGAGCAAATCATTTTGGAAATTGGTGAGCGGAGTTATTTTTCAATATTGCGAATTAAATGTAAGATTTAGTATTTTTTCCCCTTCATCTTAACGGTGCGGAAGTCCAAGTGTGTGATAAAATTTATTTTAAAAAATAAAACCCATTTGATCACAATTTAATTTGTGTTAATTTAGCTTTATACGTTACACCTTCTTAGATACAATACGTTTTTCATAATCAATGTGATAACAAATGTCCAGGGTTAACTGCAACTAAGCTAAACTAAAGCTAACTTCATGAAGTTAATAAACTTATTGAATTTTCAATGAAATAATTTAAAAAGGAAGTTTTGAGACATTGTTCTTCTAAATTTCGTTTTGAATTATAAAACGATTAACTTAATTATGCACAAATAGACAAATTCATTGTCAAAAATATTTAATAAAATTCTGTATAAATTTACTCTACTCGAATTCATACTTGAATTCCATTGAAATAAAACCAGGCGATGGACTTTGATTGATATATGTCAATGAAAATTGTTGTTTTGATTAGATTCAAATCAGAGATTAATTGATAAATTTTTGTTCAAATTCCCAAATATCTGTTTCTTTTCAATGATAGCAACAGTCATAAACGGATCATATCAGTAAATGCGAAGATAAACCTATGCGTTGGTATTTATTTAAATTTTCTCTGCACATTTGTTGGTTGAATGAACGATTTGACGAATCGTTGGAAATTTTACGCACTTTCATTAGATCATGGAAGTAAATGGAAAAGATATGGACGCATCACAAAGTGTGATATACCAGTGTATGGCCGCAGTAGTAGGTAAAAGCAATAAAAATACAGAAAATTTCAACTAAATAGTAATGAACATTTTCATTGTAAATAGCGAATATAGCAACAATAGTCTTTGGTGTAGCAGAAGGTTGGAGTAGCCCGAACATCTATCTATTGATGTCAGATGACACACCTCTATCGCGCCAAATAACAATAGAAGAAGCCACATGGATCGCATCACTTCTCAGCATCGGCTGTATGTT